CTTGACACGTTAATCACTCGGCCACATTGCCACGAGTGCCCTTGGGTCACAGGGCAGATGTGAATTTCAAGGAAGGCCGTGCCTTTTCCCATATGACATTCTTTGGTGGGATTGTCGATAAAGCAAACGTATTTTTGCTATAACAATCGACTACGTTACTTACTTCTCGTATTTAAGTAGAGTTTCGAGACTATCACTTAATCAGTTATATAAGATTTACGAAATAGGGTGAATACATCTCGTATAACTGATTTACTGGTAGTCTCGAAACTATACTTACATACGAAAGATATCCTTTAGTTAAAATATCCATAGCCTCTGCGATATTGCGTTTTCTTGCATTTTCCTCAGAAATAGTCACCCTATTTGTCAATTCCTAGTCGATTTCGGGTTCTGTCCGTGCAATGTGTTCCACTATTTTCACTCTTTCCGTATCCATGTTTATTCAGTCCTTGATTCTAAAGCGGGAGAGATGGAGAGAGAGAGAGAAGGAAAGGGAACAGGAAGAGCCACTGCGTAGGAGTAGAAGACTTGACTAAGCTGGAGTCTGGCTTCGCACCAAATATCGTAAACCAATTCTTGAGTGTTGCACACACACACACACAAGCATCCATGAAGCTATAACAACCCCCAGGATTACAGGATCACACACTAGTTTATTGACAAACAAAAGTCGTGACCACATCCTCTTCCCTTCCCGCACCACTTTGACTTGCAGGTATGTGGGGGAGGCATAAAACAGCGAACCAAATCATGGAATACCTCATTAGGATCGCAAAGTGAAGCATAAGAAGTAGGATCTCAGCTTGAATCCTTTCTTGGTTTAGTGTTGTGGTGATTATTCGTGAATAATGGTTTCTGACTCTGACGATACCCGTCACATGACGGACGAAAGCTCAACACGGAGTCATCGGGGTCATAGGACGGTAAGCCGGAATCTTCTTCGCAAAATTTAATAGACAAACGTCCAAGGCAACCTGCCCTTGGTATCCAGACCCCAATTTACAAAGCCTTTCCACCCGCCTTCTCAAACGAAATGAAAGGTAAGTCAATATAAATCTACTAACGAAGTCTTCAAGACCCAGCTTCTCTTCATATCGGTGAAGAGAGCTTTTTTCATCCTTATCACTTTGATATTCTATTGTCTTAGTAAGAATGCAATTTTTTACTCAGTTTACAGGAGGGCGGACATATCCACTTATGGTCGCCCTTCCGATTCCTGATTTTATTTTCAACTTCATATCTACTCTTTAGGAACCATATATTTCTTACTATCGTTTTTCTGAAATAATTTTGTCCCAGAATTCAATATCCGTTAGTCTTAATATTCTGATGGTCAAACTCCACATTATTCCGATCTTTAGTCTAGTTATGATGACTGTCTCGAAACTCTACTTACATACGAAAAATAGTTGTGATGAGAAGGAAAATGTAGGATTAGTCCCGCATATGATTTCTTACTGAATAGTTTCCTCTTGACTATCTCGTTGGAGAGAATGACCTCAACAACAAGGAAAGGTACTAGCTCATTATTCACCAACTTTATTATGAATTTAATTCTTTTATCAAATTGGTTCATAAAATTAATGAATTCAGCTAAATTTTCCTTACCATGCGACCAAAGTGCAAAGTAGTCATCCAGGCACCGCATACGCATTATTGGTTGAAGCTGTAACTTCTAGAATTGCTGTCCCAGTTTGTCCATGTATGCATTTATCAAAGGTGAGAGTGGAGATCCCATGGGTAGTCCAACTATTTCGTATATATGAATACCTTCTGCTTGGTCGCAGTCTCCTTTAGCCTTATAGTGCTGGTTCGTTCTCATCTTTGCAACTTGGTCGCAGCGTCAGGGAGAACCTGCGGAACGTATCTAGTCCTGTGTCCTCTGCCGTAGTATTCGTGATTTCCAGCATCCGATCATTGAATTGGTACATTCCCAAACGTTCCACCGACATCGTGAGAGGCGCCATCGTTACAACATAGCAGTGACAAGTGAAGTCAATCCCCTTGACCAATTTCATGTTCAATCGCTGTGGCATTACTCCCCGTCCCTATTTTTCGTTCTAACTTCTGGTGTTGCATCCCTTTCTCTCAACCCCACTTAATATGGCCCGTCTATCTATTTACACAAATTTGTGCTCTTGTTTCCTCCAGTGTAGTCTAAAGGTGTGCCACTACAAGTGGGTTTAGTGAAGCGTACTCATCCCCACCACCGGTGCAATGTGTCGTTTACAGGGCTGACCTATATTCTGTCCCCTTTATCCTACATGGCTTGTCAATTAGCCGCTGCTAAGCGTCAAAATCAAACAGAAGGCCACACCATCTTTGTCTTCATATCTACGATCAAACTCACTGTCTGACTGCCTAAAAGCCTTCAATTTACACCCCCGATTACGCCATATTCAAGAATTTAGAGCAGTTGACGCTCATGTCCATGCCCATACCAGTGCCTGGGAATCTTCCTCTCCCTGGGCTTCAAACCCATGACTTGATTATTCTCTCCAATATCCTCACCCACATTGTCAAAATAGTTTCTCATAGATATTGCCGATTAAATGTATATGCTTGAAGCTCAAGAAAATTAATGACACTCGTATACGGTAAAGAAATCAGATTAATTTTCTCATACGATCCAAAATATTGGACTGGCAGGAACGGAAATGTTGGCAAGTTCTGACATACAATCAATGTACACAAGCATCTCAGGCGAGAAAGCGGTAAGCATCCTGAAGGAGACCAGGATATAAGAGGCAAAGCGTAAATGGAAGTAGCCGTTAACACGAATGATCAACTGACAGAAAGTACCAAATACTTTACATCCAACTGCAATATTTGAGCAAATATTTGTACTATCTATGGGATGAGGGAAACATCTGTTAATAGGAATAGGTCTCACTAAATCGGCCCAAAAGGCTACATCATAACCAGGTTAAAATAAGCAAGAAATTGGGATTGTGAAGTGGTGTTACGAGGATATAGGATAGTTGATTTACCAGATCAGGAGAGATAGCAAAACTTTTTATTAAACAATTGGTCAAATGATTGGCTTCACTTGTCTGACGAGTTGTAATGAAGTGCTAAGACTGTCAAAATTCATTGATGATGCTGGCGAAACGTCTGGGAATGTACCAAGTCCACTATTCAACTTCGGGCAAGATGCGTTCCGATAGGTCCTACTGACAATACGACCAAGTTAAGAAAACAGAGTCAAGCGACTTCTATATAGGGAAGTGTTTAGTTGCGAAATTGGGTATTTGAGCTCATTATGGATCTGGAAGCATGTATCCACAAGGATTCTCTATTATAAAACCAAGAAGAATTTACCTACTCTCGCCCAGATCGACATTAGCCAATCACATGTATGCGTAAAAAATGTGCAATATAATTTGGCTTTTGATAAATTTTATTAATTAAAGTGCTATTGAGTCAAAAAAATGAAACGTAATACTAGCATCCAAAAAGCAAGGGTTACCAAGCTTTGAGAAAAAGGAACAAATTTCAGTCCTAAGGAGTAGAAATCTGAAGTGATAACTGCATCCACAAAACAGCAGAAAGTTGTGATGAAAAATATACTCTACCCACCTCACAGGCCGCAGGATTGTCTTTGCGTATATATACAAGTGCGAGATTTAAACTGATAAGAACTGATAGAGAATCTCGTGGTCCACCAGGCTGACCAGATGGAGTCTTGCAGTTGGCCAGAGCAGCCAAAGCTGTTGGGTCCTGACCAGAGGAGCTAGGGCGAGTGAAGGAGGCTTTGGAAATAAGCTTGGAAGTGATGAAATGGCAGACATAAACAATGGGGTAGAGTATATGTAATGCATACAAATAAGTATAAAGAGGAAATTATCAAAGTTTAATTTCAACTCCGAGTATCATATCATCGATAAATAAGCTAGCACCAAAAGACTGGTCCGCTTCAAATGAAACTTATAAAATGTTTCGCTAGATCTAATTGCTTGTGGATATTAGAATTATTGGTAGCCAAGAATAGATAATAAATCTAGCACGAAATAGATTAAAGTGAAGTAAAAATTGTGCTACAAGGGGACTTAAATACAAGTAGTTATATACTGGAACTATTTTCGATGCAAAAATAAGCATACTAGCAATATGATGTAGGTAATCGAAGGTATGAAGACCAGGATGATGTGGCCTTTTGTATGGTCGCGGTCTCCTTTCGTTGTATGGAAGTTGTTTGACCCTGGTTTCGCAACTTTTATCATGTAGGTAAGTCGATAAACGGGAAATGGTAACGATATGGGATATAGATTGTGAAAGAGCAGTCCGTGCTGAATAAAAGAATCTTTTGGGAGGCAAAGCTATGTTAAATTTAATACTATCGTGGGGGCTACAAATCTACTTGTTGAAGAAGCCATTTTTAGTGCTTGAATCAACTTATACTACCCATAGTAGTAAAGTTCGTAATAAAGAATTATTGATAGTTTCAAAATATAGTTGTACAAAAAATAAAAAGTACCCAGGATAGAAGAACATTTTGCGGATGCAAGTGACTTACAGGTTTCATGGCTCGTATAGCTATTAAGGTAGGAAGCAGCCTGTAAATTAGCATTAAAGGGGCTGAACGCTGTAGAAGAGTGCTACCAGCAAAAAAGCCATCACCAGTGAAGGACTACGAGGGTCTCTCACTTTTACATAGTAAAACGGAAGCATCCTGCTCAAATATAATGAAAGAGAAGCGCAACTATCTTAGATTCTTATCCTAGTCACCATTGAGACTACCAAGTTATTTAAAAATAGCTAGATCAAAATTATCAAAGGACCTTTCCCAGGGGTAAATAAATAGAATTTTAGACTGTGGTTTGATCTGTACAAGATTGAGAATCTAGTTACAAAACGAAAAATAAGTAATATAGTCGATTACTGTAGCAAATACAACTTTGCTTCGTCAACAATCCCACCAAAGAATGTGATTTGAAAATATCTATTCTTCCTTAAAATACACACCTGCGCTATAACCCAGGGGCACTCGTGATATGTGGCGCAGTGGATAACGTGTAGAGAGTATAGCTAGACTGTAATGGTTAGAGTACTATTCGGGGTACTGATGAGACATAAGCGAAGTCAAAAGTGCAGTCCACACTGAATAATAATACTTTTCGGGAAAGTAAGGCCATGTGAAATTCAATAAAAATGGTCATATTGGCAGAAAGATCTAAAGGAGCGCACATTTTCTAGAGTCCATAGTATTCATGATAATTTCCAGATTCGGACAGTTGACTTGGTATATCCCCAGACGCCTCACCG